TCAATCCCATGTCCAAAATTTTCCCCCCAAGCAACCATTGTTTCTTTAACTTGTTCTTCCTCTAGCTAAACCTCTAGTAAATATCCATACAGTTTTTAAATCACCTTTTCATCAGTACCTGTGAGGATTCTATCTAAATCAGTCCATTTGTCATAAAAGCCTTCGATTTTAAAATCTTTATCATATCTAGAATGTATTTGCACATATGAAAACCAATTCATCTTTATACCTTGTTCTTTCAGTTCTTGCTTAGATTTAAGTTCATCATTCAATATTTCACCATATCTAACTGTTTGTTCCTTTTTATGTGTTATTGGATATGAAAAAGCTTCAATAGTTGATAACCAGACTGGAATTTTTAAATAACGATGCCTTTTAATCTTCTCCCAGCTTAATAACAAAGCCTCACATATATAATGTCTTCTGAAATACCCCTGTGTTTTAGTTCCCTTGTACCACAAGAAAGCATGCCATCGCAACAACAAATCATGTCCTTCTAGTGCCAATAATCTAGAATTTCTTAGCATTATCCATTCCTTAATCCACATCAAGCTTGTTGCCTGATAATATAACTCCCAATTAGGCAGGCCAAATCCTCCTCTTTTTTCTAGCATCTTGCAGCAGTTTTAATTTTATTCTAGCTTTCCTTCCCTGCTAAATATAATTCAACACTATTTTGTTTAGATCTTCAAAATAATCTTTCCCTAATCTAATTGGAATTGCCTGCAAAGTATAAAATCCTGGGAAATATATTCATCTTGATTGTTGATATTCTCACAATTAGTGATAACTGTAAATTTTCCCATTTTGCCAGGTCCGTCACAATCTGTTGTTTAAGTTTATGATAATTATTCTCTTTAAGTGAACTGCATCTCGCTGTGAAATATATCCCCAAATACTTAATCTTATTCATGACCTATATCTTCAAAGCTTCCGGCAATTCTTACTAACATATTCTTTGTCAGAATCTTCGTTTTATCTTTATTTATTTTCAGTCCTGCTACTTTTCCATATTCCTCTATCTTTTCTACAAATTTAAGTGCTGTTTCTAATGGATCCTCTAAAATGAAAACCAGGTCATCTGCGAATGCTTGCAGTTTGTATCCTTCCTTTTTAATTTTCATTCCTGTTATATCTTTTTCTTCTCTAATATTTCTATTTAAGACTTCTAATGTTAATACAAACAACGGAGGTGACAGTGGGCAGCCTTGTCTTGTCCCTTTCCTTATGTCAATAGAATTTGTCAGTTCACCATTTACCATTACCTTTGCTGTTTGTTTATGATATATAGCTTCTATGACTTGGATAAATTGCTTGCCAAAACCCATCAGCTCCAACTGTAATAACATAAATCGCCAATTCATGTTGTCAAAGGCTTTCTGTGCATCTAAAAATATCAAGGCCATTTGTTTTTCTGGATGAGCCTTGTAATATTCCAAAATGTCCAGAATTATTCTCATTTTGTCCTTAATTTGTCTCTTTGGCAGAAACCCTTTTTGATCAGAATGAATAAAGTTATTTAAATATCTTTTAAGTCTTTCTGCCAATATTGAAGCAAAGATTTTATAGTCTGAATTTAACAGGGAAACAGGTCCATACTGCAGATTGTCATTTGCAGCGTAAATTGCTATTAAAAGTATTTTCATATTATTGTCCATAATTTCCACCATCAAGATTCTTCCATCATCATCTGTATAAATTTGTTCCGCTGGAGTTGTATCTTTAATATATAAAATCACTCCTCTTTTCTTACAGTGTGCCAACACCGTAAATATTTTCCCTACTTTTGGCTGTATCAATATTTGTTCATGTTGCTTTTTAATATGTACTTCTTGTAGGCAGATTATATCAAATTTCAGTTTCTCTAATTTATGAAATGTCTTCCTTCTTTTAATAGCTGAATTAAGTCCACTTATATTAATTGTAATCAATTTTTTCTCTTCTATATTTATACCATATAAGAAAGATTTACTGCTCTAGTAGATCTCAGTTCTCGTTGTTCTCTAGGCTCCGCAATGCCGTCTACTGCACCCTTCTTCTTTTTCAGTCATTACTAGGCATTCCTCTTGAAGTTCAATTAATGATTTGTCTTTTCCTATCTCCTCCTCTTTCCCTCTCAAGTATTCTGCATAGACTAGTTCTGCTTTCTCAACTGAATCTATTTTGTGTCTTTGTTCTTGCCATACAAACATGAGACCTTCGGGTATCAGCCATCTTTAATTAACACCTTTTAAAAGTAGAATTTTAGTCAAAAATTGATATTCTCATCTCTCTCACTCTTCTTGGTACTTGTCTCAGAACCAGAAGCTCCTTATCTTTATATTTCAATCTTTTATCTCTTGCCATCTGTAGTATTTGTGTTCTGATTGCTTTCTTGGTAAATCTTATATGGACTTCTCTTGNCCAGAATTCTCCAGCCAGCAGAGCTGGCTGGAGAATTCTGGGAGTTGAAGTCCACAAGTCTTAAAGTTGCCAAGTTTGGGAACCACTGCTCTATGGGTAGTTGAGCTTCTGCTGCCCAGGACCTGATGCTGGGCCTTTGGGCGACTTTGCCTGTCCAGTTCCAGACGTGTCAATGATGCTGACAAGCCTGTTTCCTTTTGAAGGCTGCCCCAACCTCATCTCAGCCTTGCTTGTCCCCAGGAGACAATCTCCAGACGGCCATCACCGTGGCCAAGAACTCTGGGATGCTTCCCAGCACCAGCCAGGTGGTCCTGGTAGAAGCCCAGGAACCGGAGGATTCCTGCCCAGCATCTGTGACTTGGCAGCTGGTGGTGGAGGAGGAGGCGCCCTTAATCATGGGCAAAGACAAGGTATGGCCGCTGCCCCAGAGGAGAGGTGGCCCAGGAAGGTGAGCAGGAGGGGCTGGGAAGAAGAGGAGGAGGTTGGTCTGGGTTGTTTGACGGCCAGGAGAGGGGCAGGCTGGCTGCGTTCCTCGTCACCTTCTTAGGAGAAGACCCCGCTGGTCCCTCTAGCCCTTTATGATCTTTCTAGCCAAGCAGATTTTTTTTTAAATTGTTCCTCACCTCTAGACAGAATCTTGCCAGGCTAAAGCATGCTAATATTCCCCTAAGGCCTATGCTCCGGGAACTGTTAGGGAGGAACTGTCTTCGCCGCTTTCTCCCACACAAACTCTCTGAACTAACTTGTCTCTTGGACTCCCCGCCTTCCTTCCTTCCTGGAGATCCACCTCATCACTTCATTTCATCACAAGTCCTGCTTTCAGAGGAGGGAGGGGGGGAGGGGGACGTGGGTCTGCCCCTATGACATGGTACGGGGAGGCTGGGGGGGGGGGAAGAGAAGATTTGGGCAGCAGCTGCCCAGTTTGAAACGGGATTTCCTGGAGGGAGCAGAGAGCAAGTTCCTTTGGCGATCTTGGGATAATTCCCTCATTGTTAACTGGCTCGGCCTCTATGCCTTTCATTCCCATGGACCTCCCACCGGTGGGGCTGGACAGTAATTGAAGCCTGATTTTCAGGACCCCCATATCACCCTGGAGGACCCCAGTGCAAGAGAGGAGGGCAACAACTTCCACTTCGTCTTGAGTGGGGCCTCTTACCAGGTGTTGTCCAAGCACTTCAGCAGCCTGCTGCCCAAGGTGAGTGGGGAGGGGGCCTCCCTGCTGTGGACTCTGAGTGGGGAGCCGCTTCCCTTCCCTTTTTGATTTGCCCCCAGTTACTTCCAGGGCATTCCCCCCCACCTGCCTCCCTGTCCTCTGGGCCCCCTTTCCGGCCAGCTGGCTGACGGTGGCGTCTTCCGCAGGTGCTTCTGAACGGAACGGTCTTCGCCCGCATGTCTCCATCGCAGAAGTCCAGCCTCGTGGAAGAGTTCCAGAAACTCGAGTGGGTCCCTTCTCGTGATCCAGGGCAAAGGGGGAGGGGCTGCCCCCACTGCTGCCCCCTGGCTCAGCTGCCCCTCCAGTGGTGAAGTGCTTGGCTTCCAATGACCTCTTGGGAACCCTCTTTCTTGACCGGTGCCCCCAAGGGCTGGTGTGGAAGGGTCTCCAGGTCAGCCGACCAGCCCTGCGCCAAGGTGGCACAGTGGTTAGGGTGCAGTACTGCAGGCCACTTCAGCTGACTGCTATCTGCAGTTCAGCGGTTCAAATCTCACCAGCTCAAGGTTGACTCAGCCTTCCATCCTTCCGAGGTGGGTGAAATGAGGACCCGGATTGTTGTTGGGGGCGATATGCTGACTCTGTAAACCGCTTAGAGAGGGCTGAAAGCCCTATGAAGCGGTATATAAGTCTAACTGCTATTGCTATTGCTATTGGCTCCAAAGTTAGTGCCACGTCACAGCAAGGGCGGGCAGGCAAGGGAAGGAAGTGGGGGGGGGAGTATCTGTGTCCAGTGGAGGAACCAAGAGCCCCCTGGAAGCCCCTCCCAGCCAAGGCAGAGGACAGGGAGGGGTTGGGGAAGGAGAAGGGGGGCTGCCCACCCAGGCTACGTGCTGTGGAAAGCAGGGACCACCTGGGACCCCAGGAAGCCCCATCTTCACCCCAAAGGGAGGGCGGGAGGGCGTGGGAGGCGGGTGTGGCAGGAGACGCCTGCCGTGGGTGTTTCATGCCCAGAGAGAGGGAGTTACCTCCTCCTCCTCTCTTCTTCTTCCAGCTACTACGTGGGCATGTGTGGGGACGGAGCCAACGACTGTGGGGTAGGTGGGAACTCCAGGGTCTTTGGGGAGGGGGTTGTTCTCATACTGCCAAGGTGGCGCAGTGGTTAAATGCAGCACTGCAGGCTACTGCTAGATCAGCAGGTCAGCGGTTCAAATCTCACCGGCTCAGGGTTGACTCAGCCTTCCATCCTTCCGAGGTGGGTGAAATGAGGACCCGGATTGTTGTTGGGGGCGATATGCTGACTCTGTAAACCGCTTAGAGAGGGCTGAAAGCCCTAGGAAGCGGTATATAAGTCTACTGCTATTGCTATCGCTATACTGGATGCCCCCCTGCCAGCCCCGTTACCCCAAAAGGGAGGAATCCAGGCAAAAGGAGCTTGCAGAAACTCTCCCTTTTCCCAAGAAGATTTAGACAACCCCCCACTTTGAAGATCCCAGCTCCTCACAGGGGGTCCCTGGTTGTTTTCCAGGCCCTGAAAATGGCCCACGCCGGGATCTCCCTCTCGGAGCAGGAGGCCTCCGTGGCTTCCCCCTTCACCTCCCAGATCCCCAACATCGAGTGCGTGCCAGCCCTGATAAGGTAGGTGGGGTCTCCACAGGGGCCACGGGGGGCCTTCAAGACAGGAGACGGGACAGACCTTTGCCTGGAATGGCATGGGGTCCTCCTGCCTGAGCAGGGGGCTGGACTAGGAGACCCCTAAGGTCCTTTCTATGACTCTATGATCTAGGGCAAGGGGTTGGACTAGAAGACCTCCAGGGTCCCTTCTAACTCTGGGACCATTTTGTTATTCTGTTCTTCCTTGGCGTCTCTTCCTTCAGAGCTGCCTTGAGGAGCCAACTAGCGGGGGGGGCCACTGGGGCCCCACCTCTTGGGGGGGGGGGGCTGAGCATGGAGGCTGTTGCTTTCCTCTGCTGACCCTTCCCTCTCCTCTCCCCCCAGGGAGGGCCGGGCTTCTCTGGTGGCCTCCTTCGCCGTCTTTAAATACCTGACTCTCTACGGCCTGGTCCAGTTCATCTCCACCGTCCTCCTGTACTCGGTAGGTGCGGGGCAGTGCTGGGGGGCGACTCCTAAGGGGGGAGGGGGCACAACGGCTTCCAGGCTGATGAAGACCCTCAGCCATCCGGATCTGTGGAAGTTGAGTCACGGCAACTGGACTTCTTCTGTGGGGGCCCTGCTGCTCTCTGAGCTTCCTGCTTTCCTTGCAGACGTTTCATGGCCCAAACTACTGTAGGGGGCATCGCTCTGCCCCCCATCTGTTGGTTCTCGGCCCCACAGTCACAATTCCCTGGTGGTATTTTGCCCCTCTTGCAGGGGGCATCTACATACCTGCCATGGCCAGAGGGAATTTTGGTTCATTGTTGTCCGTGTCGCTCGGGGCAATGAGTGTTGGTCAGATCCAGGTGATTTTTTTCCAAGTTGCAAGACAAACTTAGACAAACCTACGTATTGTGCATGGTTTTTTTTGAAAAGTTTTTTTTTTAATTTTTTAAACAAAGACAAACAAAAGCATAAACATATAGAACCTTCTGCCATTTCACATAGCATGTCGTTTGGTTACAAAACTTTGTGCGTCCTTTCAATCCCCGTGGAGATTCGTACCCTCACCACCCTCCAGACCTTCCGCACAGCCCTTAAAANTGTTGTTGGGGGCGATATGCTGACTCTGTAAACCGCTTAGAGAGGGCTGAAAGCCCTATGAAGCGGTATATAAGTCTAACTGCTATTGCTATTGCTATCTTTCCTTCAGAAGTTGTGGCTGCTCCACCACTGGAGGTTTTTAAGAAGAGATTATACAACCATTTATCTGAGGATCTCCAGCTTGAGTGTGTGGAATGGGGGGTTGGACTAGAAGACCTCCAAGGTCCCTTCCAACTCTGCTCTTCTGTCCTCCCCCTGGCTGGCTGCCTCTTTCCCTGCAGGCTTCAACACCGCCAAGGGAGACCTGGTGAGGTCCATCCTTTACCCCAAGCCCCTCAACTTCCAGCTCTACCAGCAAGCCTTCAAGTTCATCGTGGGCCTGGCTGTGATTGGCATCCTGGGCATGATCTATGCCATCTGCGTGTATGTGATCCAGAAGGTGGGTCCCAGAAGCAGCCCCCCCCCCATGCAAAACTTCACCGGCCAGCAGGAGACACGAGGCTGCTGCTGCTGCTGCTTCTGGTGGTCTCCTCCCTCCGGCCGGCCGGCTGGGCTCTGTAGCAGCCTCTCCGGGGAACAGCTCAAGCGGCAGCGTGGAGGATGGATGGAGGCACCTCCTCCGGGACAGCCTTCCCCGTCTCCCCCCTCCCCCGTTTGGCCCCGCCCACGTTCTGCTCGGGCTTTTCCCCCTGAAAAAGAGGCCTGGGGAGGGGAGGGCTGGCCCCCCTGGAGGGGCTCCTTGGCTCCCTCTGCCCACCCTCACCCGCCTTATGTCCTTTCCCAGCAACCCGCCTCAGACACGGTGGCCATGGCGCTCCTGCTGCTGACCATCCCGGTGCCCCCCGTCATCCCAGCGGCCTTGACCACCAGCATCATCTACGCCCAACGGAGGCTGACCAGGAAGAAGATCTTCTGCATCAGCCCCCAGAGGATCAACATCTGCGGCCAGATCAACCTGGTCTGCTTTGATAAGGTGCCTGGGGGTGCAAGGCCTGGGGAGCTCCCCTGGGGGGTGGGGGGAGGCTGGGCTGGATTCTGGGGGGCTGTTCCAGGCCTGACGAAAGTCCTCAGGACTCCAGAACCACCGACCGGGGGAACGGAAGTTGCCCCCAGAGGTTGTGGGTGGAGATTCTAAAGAAGAGGCTGGACAGCCACTTGTCTGGAATGGGACAGGGTCTCCCTTCTGAGCAGGGGGTTGGACTAGAAGACCTCCAAGGCCCCTTCCAACTCTCCTTTTCTGTAATCCCAGATCAATTAATCAGTGGAACGGCTTGTCTCCAGAGGTTGTGGGGGCTCCATCTGAGGAGGTCTTCAAGAAGAGACCGGACCCCCTTAGGGTCCCCTACTTGAGCAGGGGGTTGGGCTAGATGACCTCCAAGGTTCCTTCCAGCTCTGTTAGTCTTTCACCCTCCTTTCACTCCCACTCTTTTCTTCAGAGCTGCTCGACCTGCCTCCCTACTTCCCTCTCGCCCCTCGTTTTCCTTCGCAAGGGGAAATATTTCCCAATGTTCAACCACGGACGATGTAGATTTAATGTTGGCTTTATGCACGTGGACGATTTTTCTTTATAATTTTTTTTCTTCTGGTTGTGCTTGTAATTTTTGTCTCTTTTGTTTTTCCCCTCTTGTGCTTTTTAATATTTCATCTTTCAAAGAAATTAAAAAAATAAAATACCCCCCCCCCACCAAATAGCGGGGCAGCCGTGCCTGCAGCCCCCCCCCAGCCACCGTGGGGCCTAACCCTGGCGCTTCCTTTAATCCAGACAGGGACCCTGACCGAGGATGGGCTGGACCTCTGGGGCGCCCTCCCTTGCCAAGGCCAGAGGTAAGACATGTGGGGAGCAGCCTGACCCCAGATTACAGAAGGCAGAGCAGGGGAGGGTCCCTGGGAGCCTGGGCATTGGCAACCTTGCCCGCTGCCTTCCCTGCCACTTCCTTGCTCCTGCCAGGCCATGAAGCCCAGCATTCTCCTGCTGGGGGGGCCCCCGTCTGCCCAGGGAGCCAACTGGGAAACTGCCCTCCTCCTGCCTTGAGCCCAAGGGAGCCCCCGCTGACCCCCACCTTCCCCTCAGTTTCCAGAGCGTGCACAGCTTCTCGGGGGCCCCGTTGCCCTGGGGGCCCCTCTGCAGAGCCATGGCGACCTGCCACTCCCTTTTGCTGCTGGACGGGAGGCTCCAGGGAGACCCCCTGGACCTGAAGATGTTTGAGGGCACAAACTGGGTGAGCCTCATTTCCCTCTGGCTGCTTCTGGCACCAGGCGTTCTCCCGCCAGGTGTCGTGGGGGAATTTTGGGGAGGGGAAGAAGCTGTCCTCCTTCTCCCACTTCCTCCCTTCCGGCTGCGGTGAGTGCTTCCAGTGGCATTCCTGCTGGCGTCACCCATTGGCATGTTTTGGGATGGCACAGGGAGGTTGGCAAGACGGCCAGTCTCCCCTTTCAGCGGAAGGTGGCATGCTGGGCTCTGGGCTCCCTGCAGAGCGGGATGGGACGGGAAGAGGCTCCTCAGGAAGGGAAGAAGTGAAGCCTTCAATCCTCAGGAGGTTCTCCTGGCTGGACAAATTCCTCCGGAGCCTCCGTTTGACCCACCAGGTGACAGCCAAGGGCAGACCCTGCACTTCAGCTCAGCTCTGAGGACAGGAGGGGGGGGGGCTGGAGCTCTAGCTCAGCTCTGTGCTCCAGGGAAGCTGGGGCTTCTTGGCTGAGGAGCAAAATGCTTTCAAAGGGGAAAAAAAGCAATGGGAGTCCAGTTGCCTTTTGGGAAAGGCTCTTTGGGAGGATGGGAGGACAGGGGCATATAACCCCCCTTGCTGACCCCCTGGCGCCTAACACAAGGGCCAGAGCCCCCACGCCCCCAGGTGAAGGCCTTTCCTTAGTCCCGGAGCCCCCCAACTGGATTCTTTCAGAAAGAAGGGCCAGGCTCCCAGCAGGCACCTCTGAATCCGCCCTTCTCCTCCCCCTCAGAGGCAGCCCTGCAGCCCCCGGGATTCCTCCTAACACTTCCGATTCTTTCTTCTCCCGCCAGGAGATGGAGGAGCACCGGCCGGCCGAGGGCACAGCCAGCCTCCCCGAGTCCTGCCTCCTTGTGAAGCCGGGCCCTGCTGCTTCCCCAGTAAGCCGCTTCTTCTCAGCCCTCCCCCCTTTGTCCCCCTAGAAAGTGGGGCAGGGAAGTGAAAACAGTAGAGGGTCTCCTGCTGGAGCAGCGGGTTGGACTAGATGACCTCCAAGGCCCATCCCAGCTCCGTTCTGATTGATTGATTGATTGACTGACTGGCTGACTGACTGGTGGAAAACCAGGGGTGGGAATTCTCCGATTAGGAAAGCTTGTGGGGGTGGGGGTGGGGGGGAATCTAAGCTTGCAACGAAGCAGCCAGGAATGGATTTGCATTTGGAGCTGATTTTGCAAGCAAAATGGAACAAAAAGGCAGGAGGAGGGCTGAGCAATTATGGGATTATTATTTAATCCTCCTATTTATTTAAGCCGCCCGTGTAAGGGGCACCGCCCACGGCTTCCTCCCGCTGCCAACTGGCTGCTGGGCCCCAAGTGGGCCCTGAGATGCCGGGGGAGGGGCTCTGTCCAAGGAATCTGGGTCTAGAGCTTGGCGGCTTTAGAAGTCAGGGCCGCGAGGGCTGCGTAGAGTCGGGAGGCAGCGATGCCAGCAGTGAGCCAGGATTTTGCCTCCCCGTCTTTAGATGAAGCTTCTCCCTCTTCGGGTCTCCCGGCCCATAAAAGTTCCCTCTGATCTGGGTTAAAGTTGGGGGGCCCCTCCTTGCGCCCACAGGAAGCTCATCCACTCCGCTCCTGCTGAAGGCTGGGGGGGGGGGGAGCAGACCGGCCAGAGGCAGCACAGTAGCCCTCGACTTACAACCCTTTGTTTAATGAACATCCGAGGTTACGACGGCACTGGCTGGGTTTCATACTTACGACCATTGCAGCATCCTTGTGGACAGGTGACCAGAGTTTGGGCATGTGGCTGTGACCGTTGCATTGTCCCAGGGTCATGGGATCCTCTCGCCATCTTCCAGTAAGCAGACAATGGGGGAAGCTGGATTCACTTAACGGCTTCCTGATTCACTTAATGACTATGGCAAAAAAACGGGGCAAAAGTCACTTAACAACGGCTTTGCATAGCAACATAAACTTTGGGGGTCAATTGTGGATGTAATTCAGGGTCTAACTGTATTAGTGACTGCAGGCCAAAATGGGGGCCATGAGCAACAAAGCTGGCAGTGCCCACAGCCCAAGGTCCCCCTGTGCCACCTTCCGAAACCCCCGGGGGTTTAGCACCAGACTCTCCCGCCAGACCAAGTTGTCAGAGGACAGGCCTGGATGAGGGACCCAAAGCACAGAAGGCTCCAGGAGAGAGAGGTCTCCCCTGCCCCCCTTGGCTCTTACAGAAGAGTCCCCCCCCCAGGACGCCCACGCTTCTTTCTTCCTCCAGGCCAGGCCCAGATCCAGATTTGAATGGGGCTTCTCTTCCACGGGGGGCCTGTCGAGCCCTGAGCTTAGCTCACACGCAGCTGTGGAAGTCTAGCCTCCTTTTCAGGAGGGGGCTGGACTAGAAGACCTCCGAGGCCCCTTCCAACTCTGTTCTTCTGTTTACAGCACCCCCTTATGAAACCACAGCCCTGAGGACGGTTGGCCCCCCCCCCCCGAAGCATTTGCTCCGCTTAAAATCCTCCCCTGGCAAAGGGATGGGCAGCGGGTGGAAGCGAAGCCAGACCGGGAAACCCAAGTCATGAACGCTTACACAATGCTGCTATTGTGATGAAGGAGTTCCAGTCAAAGGTTCTTGCAAGCCCAGAGCCACTCCTCGCTTCCAGAGAACCGGGGAAGGTCAGGGCTGAGGCGTGTCCTCAAATTCCCCGTCTTTCGCAAGAGCGTTGCCTTGGGGGGTGACTTATATAAGAGAAGAACAAAGTTGGAAGGGGCCCTGGAGGTCTTCTAGTCCACCCTCCGGCTCAAGCAGGGCACCCTAAAACTTTCCAGGAAAATGGCTGTCCAGTCTCTCCTTAAAAGCCTCCAGTGATGGAGGCCCCACAACTTCTGTTCCCCTGGCTAATTCTCCTCCCTGTCAGGAAGTTTCACTTTGGTTCTAGGTGAGATTCCTCCTTGATGAGTTTCCATCCGCTGCTGCTTCTCCTTCTGCTTCCTGGGGCTTTGGGGGGCAGGGGGAGCCCTTTCTCTCTTCTTCCTGGGGGCGATTCCTGCATCTGCTTGCCCTCCCCAGGCGCCCGTGGAAGGAATCCTAATCCTGCACCAGTTTCCCTTCTCCTCCTCGTTGCTGAGGATGTCGGTCATCACGCAGGAGTGTGGGAAGAGCGGCTTTGAGCTCTCCATGAAGGGAGCCCCCGAGACGGTGGCCAGCTTTTGCGAAGAGAGGACCGGTAAGGGATGAAGAACCAGCAGAGGGACCCCCCCCTCCATGACCAACCCCAGAGGGTGTCCCAGAAGGTTGGGTGCCCACCTTCTGACCGCTGACCGCAGCCTCTCTCCCTCTCCCAGTGCCAGCTGTCTTCCAGGCTGAGCTGAAGCACTTCACGGCTCAGGGCTACCGAGTCATCGGCCTGGCCCACAAGAAGATGGAGCTCCCCCAAGGAGTGGTCTTCAGTGACCTGGAGAGGTAAGCCCTCTTGGGCCTCTCTTGCAGGGGGGCTTGGGAGGGACACGGCAAGCTCCAGCCCACGTCTCCACATTCTCCCTTCTCCAGATTTCAGCTCTGCCAAAAGCTTGTCTCCAAGGCAGCTGGAGAGGAAGAGGCGAACCCAGAACATGGCCTCACGGGGTTCAAAGGGACCTTGGAGGTCTTCTAGTCCAGGTGGCCCTACACCATTCTGGACAAAGGCTTGTCCAATCTCTTCTTGGAAACCTCCAGTGTGTGTGGGGTGGGGGAAGAAGAATAATTAACCGAACGACTTGTCTCCAGAAGTTATGCTCCATCAATGGAGGTTTTTAAGAAGAGGCTGGACAGTCACTTGTCTGGAATGGTAGAGGGTCTCCAGCTTGATCAGGGGGCTGGACTAGAAGACCTCCAAGGCCCCTTCCAATTCTGTTTATTCTCTTCTGGAGAAGTAATATCAAGATCTTTTAGAGCCAAGGAAAGTTCAGGACAGTTAGAAAAATTGATGTCAGCTTCTGCTTTGCTGTTGCTGACTTTGCTATGCAATCGCTCTTTAACCATTTTTAATTAGTAAAAGTACATTTGATTTTCCACAAATGGGGTCTCATGGTCTTCTTTCCTAATTATTAAATGGAGAGGTGCTGACAATTGATCAGTGGAAGGACTTGTTGTGGCTGCTCCAACACTGGAGGTTTTTAAGAAGAGGTTGGATAACCATTTGTCTGAAATTGTATAGGGTCTCCTGCTTGGGTTGGGCTAGAAGACCTCCAGGGACCCTGCCAATCCTATTATTCTGCCCTCTGTCTTCTGTGAGCCGAGGACCACCCGTGTGGCCTCTTCCCTGCCTCTCCTTCTCACAGGGAGGAGCTGGAGTCCGGCCTGACCTTCCTGGGACTGCTGGTCATGGAGAACCGCCTGAAGAGCGAGACCCGGCCGGTCCTGCAGGAGCTCAGCCAGGCCCGCATCCGGAGCGTGATGGTCACAGGTGGGCTGGGAGGGAGAGTCCTCAGCCGCTGCTCCCAGGGGGGAGGGGGCTCAGCCCTTGCACAGCAGCCGAGGGGGCTCCCTGGATTGGCCAAGAAGCCTTTCAAACTTGCCTTCTGGGGCAGGAACAGGCGGAGATGGCCGGACATCTTATCAGGTGGCAGGTTCCCCAGGAATCTCCTCCATTCCAGGTGCTGCTTTGGTCCAGTTGCCCCA